AAAGAAGTAATTTCTCACAGATTTGATAAGTTGATGTAAGCTGTATCTTAGCTTATATTCACTCGTCACATTCAGTGTTTATATCAATCTTGTTCTAAAATTTAAAAAGAAAATGTCTTCTCTTCAAAGGCATGCATAACACTATCATGTTTCTTGGCATTTCTTCAAAATCCTTTCTGTCAGTTTTAAATAGGATACACACTTATTGCCATTAAAGAAACCTAGGAAAATCTGGCAGGATAATTAATTAAAGCCATGTTAAAAAGCCTTCACCCAGCAAATAACGTTTTTTGCTGATGACTGCATTTTTTTCTCAAGAATCTATTTTCTGATATGTTAGTTATACAAAGGTAGCTAGCTCCACTGTGCAGTTCAAATATTCCTGTACTTTAAAAGAAAAAAAAAGGCATGAAACTAGATGTTTAAGTGAAGATCTAACAGGCTGAACCTAATACGATGAAACTTGATAGGGATAAATGTATCCTTACACAGGTTTAAAAAATCACCTTTACAAATACAATATGAGAGCCAGTCTCACATGAAAAAGATGGGGGGTTTAATGAGGTCAGAATGAATTCCCACTGAGATATGGGAGCCAGAAAAGCTAATATAGTATTAGCTTACATTAAGAGAGTTGTAACGTTTAGGGCTAACGATGATTGTCCACTGTACTCCAATCTGGTCAGACTATATATATGGAGTATTGTCTTCAGTTCTGGGAACTTCACTGAAGATATCAATGGTGATGAGGAGGAGGAAAAGAAAGAGGAAGAGGAAAGCTAACATTTCTATAGCACCAAAGTATTTTGTAAATACTATTGCATCTTATCCTTATCTTCACAAAACTCTGGGATGTAGGTATTATTATTATCCCTATTGTGTAAATGAGGAAACTGAGACAAACAGCAGTTAAAAGACTTGCCCAGGGTCACACAGCTGGCACATGTCTGAGGCCAGGCCTGAATTCAAGTCTTCCTGACTTTAGGTCCACAGCTCCATCTACTGTAGCACCTAGCTGCCTAAGACATCGATAAGCTGAAGAATATCAAAAGGAGGGCACCTGAGGATGATAAAATGCCTTGTGAACATATCATAGTTAAGACTGGTCAAAAGAACTGGAAAAGTGAAGAATTAGAGAGATGGAGCCATTTTCAAGTACCTGAAGGGCAGTCATTATGTAATAGAGAGATTTGGTGTTTGGCAATAGATTCTAAAATATCTCTTAACAGACTACAGTCAATAATCAGCCGTTATGTTGATTAATAAACTACATCCATACTATTTACAACTAATTTCCAACTATTTCTTCTTATTATATCTTCAGTGGCCAAAAGGGAAGAAAAAGTTACCAATCTATATCTGTAAACCTTAAGTCATATTAAGCATCCATTAACAGTCCTCTTGGAACTAAACAATGACATTTTCATTAATCTTTCTTTATTGAGTTTATTTTCCCAAAACATTTGCTTTTATTTATAATAACAAAATTTACATGGCAAATCACTTTCCTCACATACTATAAATGATTTATTATCTAGTGGCTAATCTGAGGTAAGATTCAAAGTCAGATCTCCTGACTCCAACTGCAGTACTCCTTCCATTATACACTGCTACCTCATAAACTACTCTTATGTCAACCATGGTGCCTCAGAGTTTCATCTGTCTGGAACTTCCCTATACATGCTTTATAAAAGTCTTTTCTGGTTGTGTTAAGAAACATGTACAAAATTTCTCATAATCTACCTAAGAACTCTGAGGATGCAGTTCTCTCTTTCTTACACTTATAGTATATATGTACTTGTCTGAAGTAACTGTGCAGTACAAACTCCCCCCAAATTCAGCAACACTGTTTTCTTAGAACTTAGTTCAATGGAAGAAAGAGAGGAAAGGAGAAAGAGAGAGAAGAAGGATGGGAAGAAGGAACGGGGGAAGGAAGAAGGAAGAAGGATGAGAGGGAAGATGGGAGCAAGATAGGAAGAAAGGGAGGGAGAAATAGAGGAAAGGAGAGGGGAATGTAGGAAGGGAGGGCGAAAGGGAGAGAGAGAGAGGAAGGGAGGGAGGGAGGAAGGAAGGAAGGAGAGAGTAAATCAAGGATGTGGATCCATGATTTACAGTCTTTCTATAGATCTTTTGACACAGCATAACGAATAATGGAGTACAAGGGCTAGCTATCTTCCCCCTTTACTACAGGACTAGTCCACCTTTTTCAGCCATATATAAACCGGATGACATCTTTTACACCACTTCTTGTACAAAAATTGTGACAAGTAATATTCTATATTTTATTTATGTCCACCATATGTCTCTCCATTATCCTTAGGCTAAGCCACAATTTTGATTTTTCTGGAATTCTTTCAGCAAAGTGCATGACCATAAAGATGTTGTTTGCTCTAGAATGTTGTTAGTGAAAGCCTGCTTGTTCCATTCTCTTACTTTCATTCAGAATAACCTCAATATGTATGTGAATAACCCTGATATTTTGTATAGATGAGAAACTAGGCATATGGATCAGTACTTACCGATGGTTTTCACTATCAACTTTCATGGAGAGTAACACCTATGATATTTTTTTTGAATTTTTAATATTTTCCCCTCTTTTCAGTATCTTGAAAAATAATACCTCAATACCTTATCAAGCCTCTGTTGTATGACATTTGGGAATATCCTTTAAAGGTTGAAGGGACAGAGCAAACTGGATTTGACCTAAGAACTCAAGACACCAACATCCTCAAGGTATTCAATAGCCCATCACATTTAAATGAAGGGTCAATGTGCGTGTGTGTTTGAAATTGTGTGTGTGTGTGTGTGTGTGTGTCTTTGCACACATATAGACAATACAAAATGCTATAATGCTGCCACTTAAAAGAAAGAAGACTGTTTTTACCTTGAGGCTGCATGAGAACCTACACTTTTGCAATACAACTTACAAGTGGTATCTCCAGTAAAATTCTCCAAGTTTGCTCTACAGCAGCAGGATACCAAAGACACTGTACAAAGGCCTTTATCTGCTATCACTTCCATCTGGAGAGACCGGGTGAAAAGGTGTGGACACTTAAGCACCATCTATCAGTCTTAATCTGTCATTCCTGCCTTTCCCTGGTATTCTGAGGAATGTTTGAATTATGACTGAAAAGTATCCATTCTTCCCTCTGGTAAGATAATTCCTTCAAAAAAAAAACTGCCTTAGAACAAAAGAAAAAAAAGACAAAAGCTGCACAACAGATGAGTCTGAACAAGTCAGAGAATAAGAAAACACAGCAACTGTGTGAACAGCAAAGCCATGTCACATGTAGAACGTTCCATTTCTTCCCTATACAAGCCTTTGTGTCTACTGCAAAAAAAACAGGAACTGCTCTTCACAACAGTCTTCCTTCCCTTCCATCCTCCACATGCAAGATGTCAAAAATTAAATGAGAAAGAGAAACAAAAAGCAAGAAGCATCTGGTTTGAAGAGTGAGCAGAAGAGAGACATCTTGCTCTTATGGGTTGTCACAAACACAATGAGATAAGCCTGATGGGCATTAGAGTTTTTCAGCTTACCTAGCACTACATTCAATGCCCCTAAAAACCCTGGGGAGAAGAAAAGAAAAGGCATCAAGAAAAAGTTCAAGAACAAGAGCAGCTTTGCTGAGGCTTAACTACTGTGAAATCTTTACTACAATCTTGACAAAGAAATCACATCTACAGAAATAGACAAAAATATATGAGCATAAGGACCCAAACAAAAAAGGAGATGAATGGATTTTCTTTTGTCTCTACACTATGGCTTTCACTGGACCTATTTTAATATGCAGAAATAAGAGCTTCTTTGCAAAATAAAAGATTTACTTTTTACACTGAATATGCAATGTTCATAAATATTAAACTCTTTCATTAAACTTAGACTTGCTTACTAAATTTAAATTTCTTGAACTATAGCCCTTGGGATGTAATTTTTATGCCATGATGGTACATGTCTATTTTTAAAGTATATGCAAAATCTAGCACATGATTCAGCAGTCAAGTTGCATATGCCACAGTTCTCTTTATGAGACACCTTTGAAGATGGAGTGATATTTAATGCTGAGCATAAGCAGTCTTTTCATCTTATACTGTAAAGTAATTGCTTCCTACTTCAGAACTATAGCATGAGTTATCATCTTAGACTTTGTTCTCTAAGTGCCATGGCCAACACAGAAAATCTGACAAAGAATATTATAGGCTTACTCAAGGGAGTCAGATCTTTGATAACTGTCAAGAAAAAACCATGGCTATTCAGGCAAAACATAATGAGATATTGTATGAGAAATGACATACGTTATTCAGCCCCCATTTTAGGAAATCATTTCACCTGAATGTCCTTTGCCTGAACCCACTGCAGTACTAAACATGCCAGAGAAAAATTATAACCACACATAGAGTGTATTTACAATTATACATGCACAACTGAGAGTTCATGTGGATGGGTATTCGTATTAAGAATGTGAGATGCAGAATTTTACCCTGACTTTTAGAATGGGATCCAATACAACTTAACCTTTTCAGAGCTAACTGTTGGCATGTAGGGTACTCATAAGCCCGCCCATCTGGCCTTAAGCCATTGGAGTTTAAAACCTTTTGGAAGCAACAAACACAGCAGACTGGTATTTCCAGGGCGGCACTGGGAAAACACATACACGCACTGGCATACACACACACACACACACACACACACACACACACACACACACAAAAGAGGAAGGGGAAAAATACATAACCACAAACAAATAAGCAAACAATACACTCACATTCCCCTAACCTATGTAACCAATAGTCACATCAGAAACAGAAAGGAAAACAAAAAAAGAAATGACAGGTAAACATAAAGAAGAATAAAGAGGCTTAAATACAACTCTAATCCCATGTTGACTAAATGAAAAGTAAAAGGCTTAAAATAAAATTACTTTCCTGGAAAGAATAGTTACAGATAAGCTCCACTTCAACCTTAACCTCAATGTTCTGGTCAAAATAAAAACCCTTACCTTTGCTTGTTTCTTTCTTGCTTCTCTTCTGGATTCCTTTTCTTTCAGCCTTTTTTCCTACAGAGGAAAAAATATATAACTGTTAATAACCTATTAACCTATTTTATTTTGGATGGGAGACAGACTAAAATCTTGTTTCTTAAACCCTAGTACCTGTCTACCTACAATATAAGGGGGAAAAAAAACACAAAATAAAGCATCTCGACTCTATCATTCTATCTTCAAAAAGGAGACTGTATAAAGAATACAGAAACAACACTCATTAGCCTTCTATTTCCTCAAAAAGACTATAATCTCTTTCAAAACAAAACCAGAATTAAAATATTCTGATGAGTAACAAGTCACTTTTGCAAAGAAGGTTATTACATAAAAGTTTCTTATAATTCGCTTAGTTTTCCAACGACTAGCCAACATTTACCCAGAATTTTGCAAAGGTGGCCTGACATAAAAAAAAAAGATCAACACCAAAAGAAATATTCAAAAAATTCAGCCTTACAAATTGTCCCATTTACAGTTCAAAATAATGTTATTTTATATATCTAAGCAACTTCTTGCTTGTGAACTCTACTATAAAACTGCAACTGCCAATTTTATGATCTGCTACTAATAACTAAGCCAAAGTTTGAGTTTTTATTTGCAGAAACAACATTAATGTCTAATAAATGTATAAGATAAAAAATTAAAAGCACTTCAAATATGCTCACATAAGATTTGTGTGTATTGAGAGAGAGATTCATATAGAGACACACATGCAAACATTTAATTATGTAAGGAAACATTTCTTGTTTTATTGGATGACCAGATCCATCAAAATTCCACAATAATTTGAATTTATTTTTTAAAATAAATTCTGGGCTAAAGGCAAGATGACAGTATAAAGAGCATTGGTTTAGAATCAGAGGAAAAGAGTGGAGCCAAGATGATGGAGTAAAAGCAATCACTTTGCTTAAGCTCTCCCCCAAATCCTTCCAAATACCTGTAAAAAAATGGCTCTAAAGAAATTCTAGAGCAGCAGAACCCACAAAAAGACAGAGTGAAACAAATTTCCAGCCCAAGACAACCCGGATGATTGCTTGGAAAGGTCTATTGCACCAGGCTGGAAGAAGAGCGCAGTTCAGCATAGGGCGCAGGCAAAGACCAGGCCTCAGCAAACCTGAAGCAGGCCTAAAGGGATTGAATCATGGGGAACTGTGGCGGTTTCCAGACTTTTCAACCCACAAAGGCCAAAGACAACTAGAAAATCAGTAGGAAAGGTCTATCGACCATGGTGAGAAAGAAGCTCAGTCCCAGTGCAGCTCCAGGGCAGCAGCTGAATCCAGAGCTCTTAGCCCACAGACAGAGGGGTAATCCAGTGGCTGATCAGAGGGGGATTGCAGGGATCTCTTTGCTGGTGCTGAGGCAGGAATCTCTTGCTTTGTCTGTGCTTGGATCTAGGTCACAGTTCTGGGTGGCAGTCCTGAAGTGAGGAGGAACGCTGGCGGAGTAGAGCTTGTAGTGGCAGTAGAGAGGGAATCCTCCTCACAGTTCCAAGGCAGAAGAGTACTCAGTCACTCATAGACCAGAAAAGGAGTAAACACCTTGTCCTTGATCATACCACCTTGGAAGAACTGGAAATTTACAGGTCCCTAGATGTATCTCTGAAAACAACTGCACAAAACCCCAGAAGCTTGGGACAGTACATTCTCCATACTGGAAACAGACCCCTACCTTAACAAAGAGTTTATAACTCAAGTAATTGGCTGGGAACATGAGCAAATAGCACAAAAAGAGTCAGATCATAGGATCTTTCTTTGGTAACAAAGAAGATCAAAATAGATAACTGGAAGAAGACAATGAAGCCAAAGCTACTACATCCAAAAAAACCTCCAAGAAAAATATGAATTGGTCCCAGGCCATGGAAGAGCTCAAAAAAGATTTTGAAAATAAAGTAATAGAAGTAGAGGAAAAATTAGGAAGAGAAATAAGAGTGATGTAAGAAAATCATGAAAAATGAGTCAACAGTTTGCTAAAGGAGACCCAAAAAAATACTGAAGAAAATAACACCTTGAAACATAGCCTAACCCAAATGGCAAAAAAAGTCCAAAAAGCCAGTGAGAAAAATGCCTTGAAAAGTAGAATTGGCCAAATGGAAAAGGAAGTCCAACAGCTCACTGAAGAAAATACTTCCTTAAAAATTAGAATAGAGCAATTGGAAGCTAGTGACTTTATGAGAAATCAAGACAATGTAAAACAAAACCAAAAGAATGAGAAAATAGAATACAGCGTGAAATATATCTCATTAGAAAAACAACTGACCTGGAAAATAGATCTAGGAGAGATAATTTAAAAATTATTAGACTATCTGAAAGCCATGATCAAAGAAGAGCCTACACATCATCTTTCAAGAAATTATCAAGGAAAACTGCCCTGATATTCTAGAACTAGAGGGTAAAATAGAAATGGAAGAATCCACTGATCACCTCCTGAAAGCGATCCCCAAAGGAAAAATCCTAGGAATATTGTAGCCAAATTCCAGAGTTCCCAGGTCAAGAAGAAAATATTGCAAGTAGTCTGATAGAAACAATTCAAGTATTGTGGAAACACAATAAGGATTTTAACACAATGTTTAGCAGCTTCTACATTAAGGGACTGGAGGGCTTGGAATATGATATTCCAGAGGGCAAAGAAGATAGAATTACAACCAAGAATCACCTACCCAGCAAAACTGAGTATAATCCTTCAGGGGGAAAAATAGACATTCAGTGAAATAGATGACTTTCAAGCATTCTTGGTAAAAAGACCGGAGCTGAATAGAAAATTCGACTTTCAAATACAAGGCTCAAGAGAAGCATGAAGAGGTAAACAGGAAAGAGAAATCATAAGGGACTTACAGTTGAATTGTTTACATTCCAGCATGGAAAGATGATATTTGTAACTCATGAGACCTTTGTCAGTATTAGGATAGTTGGAGGGAAAAAATTATATGTATATATGGATAGACAGATAGAGGGCACAGGGTGAGTTGATGATGAAGGGCTGATATCTAGGGAATAAAATTTAGGGGTGAAAGAGGATTATACTGGGAGAAGAAGAAAGAGAGAAGTAGAATAGGATAAATTAGCTCACATAAAACAGATAAGGGGGCAGCTAAGTAGTGCAGTGGATAGAGCACCAGCTTTGGAGTCAGGAGGACCTGAATTCAAATCTAGCCTCAGACACATTACACTCACTAGCCGTGTGACCTTGGGCAAGTCACTTAACCCCCAACTGCCTCACCAAAAAGAAAAAACAAAACAAAACAAAACAAAAACAGACAAGAAAAGACTTTTACAGTGGAGGGGAAGGTAAAAGGGAATGAGTAAATCTTATTCTCATCGAATTTGGCTTAAGGAGTGAATAACATACACACTCAATTGGGTATGGAAATCTATCTTACCCTCCAGGAAAATAGGGAGGAAGAGGATAAGAGAGCAGGGGGATGACAGAGGGGAGGGCAAGGGGAGGAGTAATCAGAAGCAAACATTTCTGAGGAGGGACAGGGTCAAAAGAGAGAACAGAATAAACAGAGGGTGGGATAGGATGAAGGGAAATACAGTCAGTTTTTCACAACATGACTACTATGGAAGTGTTTTGCATGACTATACATGTATAACCTGCATCGAGTTGCTTGCCTTCTTAATGAGAGTGGGTGGGGAGGGAGGAAGGGAGAAAATTTGGAACCCAAAATTTTAAAAACAAATGTTAAAAATTGTTTTCACATGCAACTGTGAAATAAGATATACACGCAATGGGGTATAGAAATCTATCCTGCCCTACAGGAAAACAGAAGGGGAAGGGGATAAGAAAAAGGGGGGAGGGAGGATAGAAGGGAGGGCAGATTAGGGGAAGGGGTATACAGAATGCATGCCATCTTGGGGTGGGCAGAGGAGAGAGATGGGAAGAAAATCTGGAACTCAAAATCTTGTGGAAGTGAATATTGAAAACTAAAAATAAATAAATTAATAGAATCAGAGGAACAACTGGATTCAAGTTGCAACTTTACTAATTACCTATGTAACCCCAAGTAAGTTGCTAAACTAGATCAAACTTCAGCTCTTCCATCTATTAAATGAGATTAAACTAGATGATCTCTAAGATCTCCCAGATCTAAATCCTATAATTCTTATGAATATTCATTTAACTTAACACCTTGTCATCTCTGCTATTTTACCCCTTTTGTGATAACCTCAAATGGGCTGGAGAGGACCAACTTCCCTTCCCCACCACTAATAGATGTTTCACACACAGACATTCAAATTTATAAAACTTTTAAAAATGGGTTGTTCTTCAGTAGTCACAGGCAAAGTGATATGGTGTAAAAAGTAAGATAATAGAAATAAGTATTCTAAAGTAAAATATTCTAATGGTGGTTCTACTATTGAGTAAAGTATGATCTTAGGCAGATTACTTAAATGTCTCTGCATATTAGTGTCCTTTTCTGTAAAAACGGGATAACAAAAGCTATCCTACTATTCTTTATAAGTAAACTTGTTGGATTTCTGATTTAAATAACAGGTCACTAACTGGTATAATGGGGCAGCTAGGTAGCTCAGAGGATAGATTGCTGTGCCTGAGGTCAGAAAGATTCATCTTCCTGAGATCAAATCTGGCCTCAGACACTTACTAGCTTCGGGACCCCGGGCAAGTCACTTCACCCTGTTTGCCTCAGTTCCTCATATGTAAAATGAGATAGAGAAGGAAATGGCAAATCACTCTATCTTTGCCACGAAAACCCCAAATGGGGTCATCAAGATTTGGACGCAACTAAATGACTAAACAACAAACAGATGTAATTCCAAATGAAAGATAAGATAACTTCCCCTGACACTGGGAAGATATGGAGAAAAACTGAATCTAGTATAGTAAACTGGATTAGACAATTTAATAGGCACCTACTATTTGTCAGGCAGTGTGTTAGGTACTAGAGATAGAACACAAAAATGAAGTGGTCCTTGACCTCAAAAAGTTTATAGTCTGCTAGAATAGCATATGATTGATAGCCTCTTTCAATGATGCTAGCAGTGAAGCAGAGATGCTTC